AATGAAATTTTGAATTTCATGCACCATACCAAAATGGGTCTGGATTGTTTGTGCGATATTGGCTTTTTGGAGCCAAACATACGATGCAATAGATGGAATGCAAGCGCGGAGAACGTCATCAGCTAGCGCAGTTGGCGAATTCTGTAAGTTGTCTCCTTCAAGTTTTCTTCCAAATGAAATCCAATTGTCTGCAAAGCCTAGAAGGAGGGGAGTAAAGGCCTGACACTTGGCCAATCATCCACTCAGCATGCAGAGGGTCTGGAGAATTGCTTGGAGTTAGCAAGATGAATAGCAAATGTTGACGACATTTTTTCTCAGAATGGTAACTTATACAAATAATTGTTACTTGCAGTTGATCACGCTTTGGATACGTGCAAAGTACTCCCATTCACCATGACACTGTTTGCGCCTTTCGACGAGAGTGATTCCCGGTAATTCTCGTTATTTTATCCCGATTTTCATTTCTCTCCATCATTATCTTTTAATGCATTACTAAGCTAGCCTATACTTGCAGCATTTCACCCTTATGCTCGCTAATGTTGCTGATTGAAATGCTCACTTCTTACACACTTACCTTCTGGGAACAATACGTCACCAATATCTTACATATTAGGTGGTGCTTTGAAGGACTATATGTAAGTGAAGTTGTCGAATCTTTCTAAGCAAAAGATATGCGGTGTTAGCACTAACATTTGCGCCTATGCAGGCTTGTTCAACTCACTCATTACGTCGTCCCATTTCAATCATCAATGAGTTGTATGGCGTGGTGGCGTATTTGCTCTATTCTGCTTTGAGCAGTCTGTGGCACAATAAAATGGGGCGCTTTTCAGATGGCTCACGTGCTGCATATATTAGCCTACTTCGATGGCTACAATTTGGTCACAGCGTATGTGTTGGGTCAATGGAGAGTATGTAGCATAGTTATGTTCATTTTTAACGGTAACGTTAACTTTCTCGAACAGTTTCAATGAAGGAAATCTCTCATACAGAATTATTTGATGGAAGCGTATTTGCTAACGTCGTTAATAGCAACACTTCTTCATATTCTTCTCATTTCAGTATTCTGCATGTCAAACATTCTATTCTCCGTGTACCAAATCTACCAATTCAACATCTCGAGACCGCTCTCAGAAAAGGTGAATTCTCATACCACCTATAAGCCAACCAGGTCAAGTAATACATTAATAAACAAGGAGTTGCAGCACAGTGTCATCTACTCCATACAACCAATTGTTCCGACCATTGAGCTGAATGTGGCCGCACTGTTGTGGGCGCTATTTTCACCGGGTCAAATACTTTTCCTTGATTTGCCTGTTTTCCTATTTACTGTTGCGACAGTTAATGCGAATATTATTGTAAGTTTTACTTCTTGACAATGCCTCCTCTACCACTGTCAATAGTACTTCGAGACCGTATTGATATTTGGTATCAGGAAGTGGGGCACCATTCGAGAGCAGTTTGAATCAAAAATTATTATTGTCATCATTTCGAATACACCAGATGTTTTTCCAAGACAAAAGTCATCCATTCCAAGAAGAAAAAGAACTCCACTCTTCTCCGTACACGGAAGCGGTTAGAAGAAAAGAGTCGGTGTAGTATGGTTTTCGAAGTAACCGATATCTTCCACCATAGTGATCATTCTCTTTGTTCTCATCTCCGGAATCTGATTCTCCAGAAAAGAATCTGATTCTCCAGCAACTTTAGATGCTGTGCTATCCCGATGATACCCACTCATTTGCTTTCTCTTTCCTTTCTTAGATTCAGACTAGTGGATTCCAAGTTACAAGGAGATTTCAGAGTCGGCTGATAATCTCCCACATGAGCAATTCCCGTGCTCAAATGTGCAACACAACAGTAATGCTGTACTGTGCAGCTGCGCTGATGTCAATGTCCAATATTTTGAGTGCATCTGAGGAATTATTCTTGCTGAAACTCCTCGCTGTGTTCTCGTTTCTTGCATACGTGCATCATTTTTACTGCGTGGTGAGTGCCGTGCCTTTCTACTGGAATTCACTTCGGGATGTTTAATCACACTTGAATGTGGAAGGAGTCTATTTCAGGTCCGGGAAATGTCCGCAAAATTGCAAATCGAAGTTTTTTCTTTGGGCTATTTGAAAAGACGTAGTACGAGGAAGCAAGGATAAAACGATTGATCAGTACCCTTCGTGTGCTAATTTATTTCATTTTCTAAAGATTTCCCGTGAGGTTTGCGTCTGCTAATTCGACCGGCGATTCCGGATTGTTGAAAGGCCTATCCTTGTTGCCTCTTTCATCGTTCCTCTCCCATCAGAGCTAATCGAATTGCAAACCTCACGTAAGCGCAATTATTGTTTGCAAAGTTATTTAGTCATAAGAAGTATTTTACTCTTCCTGTTTTCACTAATAACACTATAACTTAACCCCAAATTTCATTTCATTAAGCATCTCGCCCAATCCATCCTGGAAGAGGAACACGCTGTTTTCTAATTTTATCATGCAGCAATAACACAAAAAAAGACAGTAAAAGAACCAACAGGGAAGTAAAAGGACAGCAAAAGCATTCCAGAATGGAAAGAATGCATGAAGAGGTCAACAGGGCTGTTTCCTGGAAGCTGTTTTAGATGAGCCATTACGTGACCCGCCAAATGATGGTCAGAATTTGCTATGCAAAGGTTCTTGTTGCAGCAAAAGCAGAGTTGAAAATGGAACTGCTACACTCGTCCTTTGGAACATGCCTTTGAACTTCAACCCCCTTGAAACTGTTTCTCCTCCTTCTAACCGTTTCTTTGCTTTTCTCCGGCCATTTCTAATTTTTTTTGTTTTTTCGTCCTTCCGGTCAACTGCACAGCATTCAAATACCACCTGAATCAGAGATGAACACACACTGTCACAGTTAGCATGGAATTCCCTTTCGCATTTTATATTATTATTATTATTATTATTATTATATAACAACGGTTCCACTACTGAATTTTCGCCCTGAAGCATTTGTTGAATTTGGAATTCCGTTAAGGGTTTCGGTGGTTGGTGAAGCAGTCCCGATGTGCTTCCCCTCCTCTTTCTCTCGTAGCCACACACCATCAATCATTTTTTCAGTCTCTCGCGCATCAAACTGCACAACAATCCAAATTTGCATGCCCCCATGAAATCTAAAAGTTCAAGCCACCAGAATTTCTCGATCTTTAACTTTCTTTAACTCATTATTTACGCAAGTTATATTAGTCAACTTTATTTAAAATTAGCTTCATAATCATTGCAACTTTCATCTTGCAATTTGTCAAACAACTGCATTCATAAAGATAGAAAAAAGCAATATTTAGCAAAGTTTTTTTAATTTAATAACGAAAACTCAACACTGAGATAATTGAATAAAAATTTTTGAAACGAGCTATTCTGTCGATTAAATGCTAAAGTACTTAATGTAATGCAAAAGACGAGAGATCATTCCAAAACGTCTCAGGTTTTCCTGACTATTCTCGAAGATGAAATGAATTCATTTCGAACTTTCGAAATATCGACACAAACCTTATGAATGCATTTTAGTGAAAAATTTGGTTATGAAATTCATGTCAGTCTTATATGGACTGACCTCAAATATATTAATGAAGCAGGCGCAACTCCATCTCATCTTCTTGTGCAAAGCATACTCGTTGCCATTTCTTCATAATATTTATTTTACAATAAAAAAGACTGTGATAAAATTACTAACATAAAATCTACGAGAAAAAAAACCTCAAATATCTGTCGTCCGAAAGATTTAGCTTCATATCGGTTGAAATTAAAGAAAGTTTAAACAGCGAAATATTGCAATCCAAAAAGATTTAGGCTGTCTATAGAAAGAAGACAATCTCGCAGGATAATTATATCATTCATTAAAATTCCTTCCGCTTTATTAGAGACTCTAAAACCGAAGAAATTATTCGTTTTTTGACGTTTTTAACGAATCCCATGTTTCCATGAGGGAAACTTTCTAAAATGAAACATCCGTTCCTCTTATCAACATGTTTTTCCAATCCACTTCAAATTCAAATGCATCACAATGACCTTACAAATCTTCATAACAATATGGCAGGATATTGCGATAATATGGCCTTTCAGACTTATGGAATATTCTGCAATGATGAAGGTGTAATTTGAAAGTATAACAAAGTTTGCTCTATCCATTATATTCCAACATTTGTAATCAAAAAACAGAAAGGACACATCAATGATAAACAAAAACAACGAAATCAAGAGAAGTGATATCACTAAATAGGATTCGCTATTTACTATAAATTTCATACTCCGTTATTACTGAGCCAAGGTAGTCCTCGTGTCCTTTCGGTCTTTCGATAGCTTTGTGTCCCCGTTGCGCCTTGAATTCTCTTTGACCTTGTTCTTCTTGACCTCCAGTCGTGGCATCACTCTCCGAGATCCTGGTGCTTCTCCATCAAGCCGATCCTATCCTGGCTCTAGGCCTCCCATCTGTGATTGCCTGCTTGAAAACAAAATTCACATGTTTGGCATTTTGTAGGTTGCACGAAATACAATATTTTCCTTAAAGGCAGTGTTACTTAGACCAGGAAAACAGCGGAGATATCAATAGGAATGTATCGAAAAGATGTATTGACAGAGTAAAGTTGATTTCATGCATGTGGCTGAAAATTTCCAAACATTCAATTTTCAATCATTTCAGACGATCATTTGCAAAGAAATCCTACACGAATAAAACCACCCTTTATTTCTGTTCCTTAGTTCTTTAGGGCAAATGGACTGAAAATTTAGCCAGAAAATTATAATATCGCCGGTTATATGAGAAAAAATTTTAATATTTAAATTGAAAATCAGTGAAGTGAATTCCGGACAGAAATTTTATATTTATATTGAGAAGGATTTGCTTCCAGAATTCATAAAGCAAAGAAGCATTTCAAGATTTTGTTGTGGAATATTCGTCTGTGGAATGCAACGAAATGCAACAATGAAAGGTTATTGACGGTATTTACGAATGCTAACCGGGTGGAATGCTAACCCAACGCGATGATTTGAAGCGAATAGAAGAAATATTTGGTTGACTGACAGATGGTCAACGATTGATAAGGAATCCAGAAGGATGGATGGAAAAACGGGTTTTGAGTGTTTGAGATTCGGCAGTGATTTGAGTATCTGTCTGATATGCAGTGGAGAATATAGTAATAGTGAAAGGTTAGATTATCCTCTGTCAGCCGGAAACCAGTCTGATCTAGGCCGTCATAATAGAAAAATTGTCAGTGATAAAGAAATACTCTTCCCCGGTATTTGTCTGGTTTTTCTGGTTTCGGTTCTATCTGCTTCCGCCAACATAACATAAAATATTTGCGTACTTCGATCATGTTATGAAAACTATAGACCTGAAATCGTAATCCGTTCCTGTCTTTTTCGAAAGTTGCACACTCTGTTGTGGGGGGTAATTTTTAGATAAGTTGGTCGGATTAAGTTTCGCCTGAATTTCAAAATTTTCAAGCGTTTCCAAAATTCTAAATTTTTGTCGCATAATAGAAATTATATTTCATTGGTGGCCTTCTGCACCATAGTACATTTTTCGCACATTCAAAAGATCGAACTTGAATTTTAGTTGAAGTTACTGAGAAGACAGGAGATTAGAGTTTGACATGTGAAGAAATTCAGAAATTTCTCAAGAACAAATAATTTATAAATAACCGATAAGCCAGACTCTCAAATCATTTTTGTTTCTTGAAGTTTCAAAAGTGTTTCCCTTTCTATCTCCCGGATTCTCTGTCAACCGTTAATCTAATCAACCAAATATCCTTCCGTTCGCTTTAAATTATCATCTAAAAAGATCTGCTTTGGTTTCATAAATATTGTCAATTATCATCTGATGTTGCATTTTGTTGCATTTGCTGCAACCATTCAACAAAAAATTCTAGAAATATTTCTTTATTTTATAAATTCTGAATTGATTCATATCAGATATTTTCCAATATAAATAGAAAATTTCTCCTTAAAATTTGTTTCATCAACTTTTATTTAAGTTTTAAAACGATTTGTTACATGCTTGATGATATTATAGCAAGCAATTTTTTTAATTATAACTAATAAATTACGATTTTTCATAGGGAAATAAGGCTTGAGGAAAGTTGCCGTATGAAGGCAAAGAAAGTTGGAAGTGTTTGGTAGGCATTTCCCTTCCGCAGTACTTGGAAGGATAAAAATTTAGAGATTTGAAAGAAATCTGAAGAATTTCAACCCTTGTGAAGCAACAAATTTCAGATTCTCAGTGCCAATGCATTTATTTGGCAGCATCCTACTGATCATCTGCGCCATTATTGCAATCGAAGTAAGTTCCCTAATTGATTGTTTCTGAACGAGATAAAGTGTATTTGAAAAAGTCTTCAAACATACGTAAGTTCTTTTTTCAGGCCTGTCCATCAAAAGGACCTCCCGGTGCCCCAGGTCTGCCAGGACGAGATGGACGAAAGGGAAGTCCAGGAAAAAAAGGGCAACGGGGAGCTGAAGGAGAAGAAGGAGATCGTGGAGCAGCAGGAGTCACAGGGTATCAAGGTGATCCAGGTCCTCCGGGAGATGCGGG